GCTTCTTGGGGAATCCAGCTTCACACAGGACCAGGTAACATACGCCTTTCTCGATGATGTAGCTAAAAGAATGGGAGACAGAGCATTAATCAATCAATTTTGAACCTATCCTGTCAAACACCACCCTGCACACCTTTATTCCTATGAGGCAATGAGAACTGGGTACAAGAATTTCTGGTTTTCTGCATCGGGATCAAGCGTAAACCTTTCTGCAAAGCAATGGCTTATCTTTTGTTAAGCCAAAATAAATTTTCTTGTAGCCTCAGACCCTATACCCATGCCAACAGCCTTGGGCTTTGACTTCAGCTGAACAAAAGCTGGCCTGTTAATACCATTAGCTGAACAAAAGAGTTGTACTGTTGGAGTATAAAAAAGAGAACACCCTGCAGCCAGGAGGAGGGGAGCACAACAAAGTTTGCCAGCAGAGTAGAGGGGAAGGTGGCCAACATGTCTCTAACTAGCAGAACAGCCAAGTACCTGAGGCCCACGAATGGGAGGCTGAGGCACTGAGATGAGCAGGCACACACAGGAGTTTGGTCTCAGTGTGCTGGGAAGGCACCCAGTCCCTGCCAGCTGCCCCTCTCCATTTCACAGGGCTGGGCATCCCCTTCCTCACCACCACCAGCCTGCTGGAGGGGTGCTGCCATGCACATGCACCACCACAGGGCCAGCTGGGGAGGGACACTGCTGCTAGGGGGGTATGGTGACCTCATGGGCTCGCCGTGGGTGGGTGTGACCGTGCCACCAGTTCTCTGGCTGCAAGGTGGGGAGCTCCAAAGCACACAGTGACACACCTGCTGCTGTGTAAAGCTGCTTGGTTTGCCCCTCAGCTGAGGGCACACGGGTCCTCTTCTCACCCACCACCAACCTTGACACTATTTAGGCTTCACTGTGTCACTCTGCTGCTCCACATTCCCAACTGAATTTTCCTCCTCTCTCAGCCAGTATAAAAATAAAGGCTACAATACTCCCACCAAAACTGAGGGGGTGGAGACAATAAACAGCCCTGTAAACACTTTTGAATGCTTATCTATATTCTTCAGGGTGGAGCGTGAGTGCTACTTTTAGGTTACCTTCCTTTGACTTTCTGCATAATGCCATTAAGCATTAGTCTGGTTAGCATAAAGATTAGCAGTGTATTAAAGAAATGATCCAGTCCTGAGGGCACTGTAGTAAAATAAGCAGCTTAAAATTTTGTTAATAGACACATCAGGCTTACAGAACAACTTCATGCCACTCCCCGCTGTTTTTCCAGATACCCCAGCAGGGCCACGTCCTTTACATTAGCCATCCTCACCTTGTTCCTGGGCTCAGCAGTATCCATTTCTTTTGCTTCTATATGGCCCATGTGCAAACCCTGGCAGCCTTCAAACAACAACAGATTTACCCCAACCAGAAGAAGAAACTCCAGCTGCCATCATCCATTCCACAGCACGCCCCACGTGCCAGTGGCCTTTGGTCCTTTTTATGCTCCTCAGCTTGGACTGCATCACTTCCCTTACCCCTGGAGACCTGCTTGCCACATAGGGGTTGCTAAAGATCAGCACCCAGAGCTTGATTTAGCCACTGCCATGACGAGTAAGACTTGAGCAAATCTATTGAAATGAGGAGAACCAGTGTCAGAAGGGAATTCTGACAGCACTGCTGGAGCAGCCCTCTCCAGGTGAGAGCACTCTGAGGAACGTGTCCCATCAGCACAGCTCTGCTTGTCTCTGCTGGGCCAGCTGGTCCTGCTGGAGCTCTTCAGCTGCATTTCCCACTTGCTTCTCCCTGGTGTGATATTCAGTGTTGGATTTAAAGTTGGTCTGTCAGCACCACAGGGAGCGAGCTCACCTCACTCTGCCCCAGATTCAGGCAATTTTGTCAACTTCAGACCAGAGTTCCTGCACAGCTGGGCCTCTCAGTTTCAGACTTTGTGTGCACCTCCAGGCTTCAGCACAGCACCTGCCTGCACATCCTCACACAAGGGACAGATGTGGCCACTTGCCACTGTTAACTCTGCACAGAGTGCAGCCAGCAGGTCTCCTGTAATCATGTTGGACATTTTGAGAGAAAAGCCTTATCCTGCTAACAGTGGCAAAGGCCAAGGGTTGCTTTTAAATGACAGGTAGGAGTCACTTCAGCCATTCATCAGGCAAAGGTCACCTGCTCACTGACAGCACAGCAGAGCTGTCAGCATTCCTGTACCTGCATAGCCCAGTGCTGCTGCTGCTGCAAGGGTGACACAGCTTCTGCAGCTGAAACCTTGGCACAGCATCTGACAGAAATCACCCAAGGGCTCACAATTTAAACTTCAGGTTTCAGGAAGGCTTGGCTCTGCCTTGAACTGATGAAGCTGAAGATGTTCAACAGCACCTCAGCAAGTCCAGCAATACCCTTGGCCGTGCTGCTGACTCCCCCCAGAATGCTCTGTCCTGCTTTGTGCTGCCCTCAGCAGTCAGAGCTCTGATCTGGCACAAAGACTGGTGAGCAACATGGCCATGGGTCAGCGTTATTTTAGACTAAATCTCAAATTCCCCTGTCACCTCCCCTTCCTGCAGAGGAAAGTTTCTGACCTGAAACTGCTCTTTTCACACAGGTCCTGCTGAAATGCCCCACCTCAAAGGAGGCAGAAGCAAGTGCCCTGCAGCAGCAGCTGTCAGTGGCCAGCAAAACCTACCCAGGGACTCACTCAGCCCAGGAGGAGGAACACTCGTGTCCCAGGCAGGTAACCTGGCTGCTCCTTTGAGACAGCTGGCCAAACAGGCCTGCCCAAGCCCTCCCTCCTCGGCACCACTGCTGTCATTGCAGCCACCACCAAGAGGCTTTGATTGCCTGGGCAAGTGTTGCCACCTTCCCTGACATCTCTGCTTGCATCACGGAGGTAACTCAAGAAGGGATTTACTGGCATCTGCACAGGCTCTTTCCCAAGCTTCACTGCCAGGCAGAGCTACACCCATGCTGTGCCAAGGAGACACTCAGAAACGAGGCAGTTTTTAAAGTCTGTGAAGATTTAACTCAGAGGAAAAGCAAGAGGAAGAGCAGCACTTAGCACTTAACTGCAGCAACAACACCCAAAATCCAAGAGGAGATAAGGATGGCCAGGCCAATCAGGGCCAGCCTCTGACACTGTAACTCCCTAACAAAGGCAACCAGAAGATCAGAGAAAAGATTTTTTAATAAATCTTGTTGCAGTTAGCAGACATAAGACAAGAGAAGCACCCCCCAAAACCTCACTGCTTTTGCCAGAGATTGCCCATCCAAAAAACTCCTGTTGCCATCTCTTCATGCCTCTGAATCTCTGAAGAAAGGGCTGGGGTGGGAGATTTTGCTCCTGTTGCTAGAGCAGAGGCCCAAAGCCAGCCTTGCCCTGCATGCAAAGGCCACCTCCCCCTCTGGCAGCCACAAGCACAGCCAGGCACTGGGAGTCACCTGGCACTGAAGGGACCCTGCTGGGGTGGCACCGTGGCTCCTGGCACGCTCCTGGCACAGCTCTGCCTGCAGAGCTCACCTGGCCCCTGAGCTCTGAGGCTTCCAGCAGGCATCCCTGACACGGCACACTCCTGACTCCTGCCAGGACCCTGGCTCAAGCATGATTCTGCCAGGTGATGGCATGGCACAGGAAGAGGCATTTCCCTCCTCACACATGAGCCTTCCTGCCCTCCAGGGACTGCCAGCTCCCCCTCTGTTCACCCACCCCTCCCCCTGCCCTGCCTCTAAGGAGTAAGGATGTCTGACCCCTGTAACATTTCCTTATTTCACAGCCATGCTCCCTTGCAGCAGTACTACTGCAGAATGCCAAAAGTGCTTTTAAGTTGAGAGCTCGCAAAGAGTTAAGGAAATTAATGAAACACACCCAACAAATCCAGCAAAAATAAGGCTGAATTTACTGGATGAGAGAAAGAACTCTGTCAGGCATTAGGACAACAATAACAGAAACATTCAGAGCTGCTCAGTGTGCTTGTAATGCATGAACAGCTGAGCTCTCCCAGGGCACAGAGAGGACAGGCCTGGGCAGCAGGAGCTCACAGTGGCACTGCCACCCGGCTGTACAAGGACAGACCTCTTTAAAGGCAAGACAGGCTGCCCAGAAGGTGCCGTGAAGGCACAACAGAGTGCAAACAAACAGAAAGGCAGGGAGGGAACAGAACCTGCCCTGCCTGCAGCAAAGGCACAGCCACAACCCGCACGAAAACCAGCACCAGACAGCTGTGCCAAGCACTGACAGCACCCACCCCCCTCCCTCTGCAGCAGGGCGAGGGGCAGCCCCGCTTCCAACAAACCCTCGGCCCCGCAGCCCCGCCGGTACTCACTGGAAAGCCATGGCTCCCGCCTCCAGCGTGCACCTGGTCGGGGACTGCTCGTTCAGCTTGCGGAAGAGCTGCTTCGCCTGGCTCTGGTACTGCTGCAGGTCGCGGCCTGACTGAGGAGGCACGGAGAGAGGAGCTGCGGGCCGGTACCGACACACCGCCGGGCCCCGGGGCCGGTACCGACACACCGCCGGGCTCTGCCCGTCCCACCCGCCGCCGCCGCCGGGAGGCAGCCCCGCTGCCAGAGCCGCCCTGCTGCGAGCAGGGACGGCGCGGCTCCCGGCAGATCGCCCCCCGCCCGCTCCTCACGGACACACCGGCCCCGCCCCGCCCGCGCCCCGCCGGCCGCACCTGCTCGTCTTCTTGCATGGAGGCGGCGAGGGGGAGCCCGTCCGCCACGCGGGCGATCATCGTCAGCAGCACCATGGTCGCGCCCGCCGCCCGCCCTGCCACGGAGCCGCCCGGAAACTGCCGCCGCCGCTTCCGGTGCGCGGCCGCCGCCACTTCCGCCCGCCCCTGGGCAGCGCGGCCGCCCCGCGCGCCTGCGCCAACGCGAGGCCACGCCCCCGAGGCCCCGCCCATGGAGCGGACGCGGCCCCTCGCACGGCCACGCCCACCAGGCTCAGTATGACCACGCCCCCTCAGCGGCCCCGCCCCGTTCAAGCCTCTCCAAACAATCCCCGCCCACCGCTCCGGCCCC